GAGCCACTTGCGCAAGTCCTTTTGGTTTTTTGAAAACCGGCTAGTCCACAATAGCTTTGACCTTAGCGGCTTCCACTCGAAGGACACGCTCCCAAATATAGCAACCTATAAAGGGGAAATATCTCTTGGGCCGAAGACGCACTTATCAGAATTAGCATGAAGCTTATTTGTGCGCATGCACTCGAGCACCGCTCTCAAATGGAAGATGTGGTATTCCTCATCTGTCGTCCTGTGCCTCGCATGACTGTGGACGAAGATGTCGTTGGGGGGTTTTCTGTGCATACGCCCGATGGGGCCTGAACAACTGTGCCACAAGACGATTAAATGTTGCTAGTGCATTTGAGGGCCATCAGCCACTCCCAGAGCATCCCGCTCGAAGTACTCACCGCTGTCAGCGGAATATCACTCGCTCTCATGAGCAATTGGTAATACCCATCGACCAAGTCGAGTAAACTGGACTTTGTGCAACCAACGATATTGTTCCGGAGAGCATTCTTCCTAGGATCTGGCGTCTGTGCTGGATTTCATTGTAAGCGTGAACGATTCGCCACCCGACACAAAACGTGGGTTTCGAATGGGAAAAATTAGTCCACGCACCATTTCTGCGTCGTGTAGCACGAAAAAAGGCTTTAATGACGTCACACTGCTCCTTGGGCAGGGACCATTGGCGTGTTACGCAGTGTTTGGTTCCCGGAACCAGGTCAATCTCATGACGCACACCTCAGTCCGGAGGTAGGACCGAAGGCAGGTCTTTGGAGACGACGTCTTGAAATTCCTTTACCAAGGCATAGTACAGTTTTGAGGGACGCTTAGACATGAACGATCCACATCATTTGAATAATACTACCTTCTAATCCTTGAAAAGTTAAAAAAATTCCCATTTGTGCGTTGAGCACCCTCTTGATGCCCTGACAGTTTCATCTAGATGCGACGACGAGTTAGTTTCTCGCTTGGTCGAATAATGGCCACCTCGGCTAAATCGCCTGCCTACAAGGCACCGCCGAACTTTCGAGGGACATCTCGTCGGGCTCAACAAGAGCATCTACCGCGAAAATAGCCTCGAGGGTGACGTCGCCTTCTTCCTTTCACGTCATCGCGTGTGGCGAGAGTGTATAGCAGTACGCTATCTTCTACGGTAGACACACCCTGGGTCAGGTTCGACGCCCTGCGTCTTGCAGATAACATACGCATCGCAGCCTCCACTCTATAGAGTTTTTACGTCTCATTGAGACCGGTGGAAGCACGCACTCAGCGTCGTCCACTCCCGCCTCATCGGAGCCTTAATGTTATTATCATCATTCGCTGAAGAGCTGCTATTCCCACAGCCGCTGTCCAATAGATAACGTGCCACTTCACGCGCGTCAGAAGCACTTTGGTCAAAACTCCTCGGACCTCGTTCGACCATGCCATTCTTGGCATGCAACAACGGCTTTTTAACTTGAGATGTGCTCAGTAACGATTGGGTCAGAGAGCTTCTACGATAACCTTCCAGATTTGGTAGCCTCTGATTACCGCAATGCATGAGAAATTATATTATAATGCAGTTTTCCGCGCATAAATGATACCTGGAAAGTGTTTGACAAGCTCACGGAAGGCCAAGTAAGTCTTCTGCTTTTCTTGAACAGTCGATCGACTTCGTAGGCGTCGCTTGATGTATTTAATTTGCGCGAAACAAGTAGTGAAGATTACCTGGATTGCTGCAAGCGTCGGTGTGGGTTGTCGTCCGTCGAATAGACACCGATTGCGGTCGGACAAAAGGAAGGGAAGTGTAACCGTGCGGAGAATGTTTCACACATAGCCGACAATCTTTGCAAGATTGTCGGCCGTCGCGTAATTAGTTAAAGCAATGTCGAGCCATGTTGGACGCTCAACGAAGAGCGGTGATACCAGCTCAAGCACCTGCCACCAGAGATGCGATAAGAACGTGCAGTTGAAGGACAAGGGCTGCTCGGTCTCAATGGCGTCACACCTCGTCCATTCGGTACTTTATGTGCAACGGGTTCGCTGTCTCGAAGAACCATAACTTCGAGCGCACCGGTAAAAGATGGAAGGCGAGCCGGAAAAGGAAGACTTTAAAGACAGGATTGAGCAAATGCATGCCGAAGCTGACAAACGACTTGACTTGCGCTTTGTCGAATCGCTGCGAGTAACTGTTATTGCTTCATCGGTGGCTTGGGTGTTCACACAGCACGGAGAAGTGCAGATAGCGGTATCTCCAGAAACAAGCACGTCTTCACGCTACTTGTGCAGCCTAAGTGAGGAAGTAGACACATTTGCTCGCTTTTCGACGACGAAAACATAAGCTGCGACGCGTCAAGTCGATTCACTATCTGTGTTGCTGCCTAATACAGCCTGCGCGGCACGTTGCATGTAAATCAGGCGTTACACTCGCGAGAGTGTACTCGATGTGTTGTTCAATGAAGTATTCTGCATCGGCCTCGCGCTGTCTTCGCGCACGAAGTCTGCAACCGATCCCAGCCTGAAAACGCGGGACACATGTAGCCTGAAGCTAATACCAATGCATTCGGTGGTGTGCTGTACTGGTGTGCGTCCGTAGGGCTGCTCGAGAAGCAGTTTAGCGGCTCAATGGAACCAGATCGACGGCGAGAATCGTACGCTGCATACTTGTTTGGTGGGAGGTCACGTGACCTCCCTGCGTGTCTTGTGCCACCCGACCAAAACCGCTTGTAACCACGTCGATGTCAGACTCCATATGAGCGGGCCGCTATGGCGAAGCAGAGACATCATGCGGAAGTCAAGCGCGTTACATCGCCCAGTGCGAGGAAGAAGCATTTTGAGCAGCTCAGTGCTCGCTGTTAACCTAATCCACGCGCTTGCCTCACAAGCCGCAAGCATGAATTGAAGTTATAAAGGAAGAAGCTGCCGCTTGAGGTGCGCGTCCAGACTTTGGTCGCTGAGCCAGCCATTACTGTGCCGTTGGTGCAAGAACTTATTTCGGATAAGATGTACGTGCGACGCGTCGCGGTCGTGCTTGCAACTCAGCACGAACCAATTTAGCACCGACTGCCACCGTTTTACGACCGGTGCCGGTATCAATACATGCTGCGTATAGTGCTACAAACGGGAGAGTACTTTTGTCTGTGCTACAGAAGTCGACGATGAAGCGTGCGTGCACGCCGATACCACGCCTCGAAGCTGTCATAGAATTGTTGGTAGAGAAACTCGGTGGTCGTATTGTCGACCGAAGCCTGTCCGAACAGGATGTCAGAATACTTTGCTGTCAAGTGCTCGAAAGCACCTAAACGCCAGGAAGCAAAGGAATGTTTCAGTTCTAATTAAGGGCCAATTGTTCCGACCTGGACAAATAGAGCTTCGCGCCGGATCCCTGCTGTAGTCTCCCGCGAGCTCAAGTTGCGCCTGCAGTTTCCCGACAGAGTTCGCAAGCCGAGTCGAGTCATCTGCAAAGAACACGCTTAAGGCTATGTGTACTGTGTTCAAACACACCGTAATCTTCGTGAGATCTTAGCAGGTTGCCGAGAGGCTCGATCGTCAAGACGAGGAGGGATCGCCTTGCTTGACGCCTCGCGTCGAATGCGGTGCGGGCACGGATGTCCGGTTGATAACTTGATGCACTTGTGGGTTCGTATACAACAGTATGATTCATCGATTACACGCTGTGCCAAACTCCATTCTCTCGGGCAGCTGGATACCGAATTCCCTCTGGAAGCCCAGGAACTTCGCGTATGCCTCTTCGTCATGAGCTATCACGAGGACTTGAAATCAGCGAGGAACCATGTGGCGGATCGATCGTCCTTTAACGAATCCTTTTTGGTCTGCGTGGATCAAGTCGGCGATGACTTGCTGCAGACGATATGTCAGCGCCTTCGACGACACCTTCACATCGACCTGCATGATAACGATAAGTCGATAGTTGCCTGGTTCAGCCAGCGGTTTGCAGTACTTCAAGGTAAGAATCTCACAGATCATTTTGTATGAGTCACACGATACTTCTAAAAAATGATATCTACGTAGTAAAATAGAGTTAGACTTAGTGTGCACTATATACTGGTAGCATATCATACGTAAACGGACAAGCATTTAGGTATGCGCGTCTGAAACGCGTCACTAATAAGTTTCCTCGCCGAGTTCATTGGCGTCTTTGGTCAGCCTATCAGTGTTGCAGCTCACACTATGACTGTGTCGTCCAGAAACGCGTCCTTTCATACTGACATTTAGAATCGCTCAGCGAGATGAAAAGTTTTGCTGCTATCAGCGAGACCATTACCGGTGAGGAAACAGCCAAGTTTCTCTTCGATTTAATGTTCTGCTATTTGGCTTTTCGATAGCCATTATCCTAGATTAGCCATTATCCTAGATTGAGAAATATTACTGTAATTAGTTAAGGTTTATACGTACCAAAGTATGGCTGTAAGATATGTGACATTTTCGAGTACTGGTGCAAGTGAATGGGGTCAAAATCTCGGAAAGAAAAGGTCCAATGGAAACGTAGGTTGCCAGAATTACATAGCCTTTCTTCATGTATAAACAAAGATTGGAACTATTGCCCTAAAGTGATTTAAAATATTCGTCCCGCTTCAAATTTTGGATGCGCACCGAGTTTGTTGAAAGGCTCTTGGTCTAGCGCCTAGATGGTGTGCCACCCAATGTATGCCCATCGACGTGGACTCGTAAAGTCAAATCTTCCTCTGTGTGAGGTGCATGCCAACTCTAATAAATCGTATCAGCAAATTGACGATCAGGTTTTGATAGGCATATACCTTCTGTGCACATCAAGCATAATATGTTTTTACTCTGTACTATGAACTGAAAGGCACTTAAGACTTTTTGGCTCGAAGAGGATGTGCTACTTGTGATTTTAGGACCGAACAGAGTTTAGAGCCTGGAGAGAGCCACCATCTTTAAACATTTGCGAGTGAGTCACGTCCAGAAATACCTGCCACTTGAAAGAGTCCAAAGAGTTCCGACAGAAGGCTGCATTTGCGATGCATCCAGCCTTTCGAGAGCGGAGACGTAAAAGATTTCCTCTCTTTACAGTTAAGGTTGAGATGATCATTTCTAATCCTTTACCGAACGGTCTTCAAGAAAAGTGGTCACGCGCTAAAATGGCACTTATGTGCAGGACCTCGGTAGAAGCGGTTTTCATGACATGCGATAGTATTAAAGCGACATGATCACATCGCCTGATCGCGTACCGTATGCGTTCAAATTCTTGTCCACTTATCAAATAGGGCAAGACATAATGGGCCATGTTCAAGATCAAAAACATCAAAGGCCGCGGTGGTGGTGGACTTCCCTCCAAGCGCAGTGGAGGTAACTATTTACGTAGAGGTCTTCAGACAGGTGTGGCATGCATAAAATTCTTCCAATTGCCCTAAATATCTCTTGAAGATGTGTTGTTTGACGCATTGGACTCGTAGCGCGGCCTCCGAATCTGGTCGGAAGCGGTAGTGTAGCACTATACGCTAAAAATTTGAGGTCAATGAGGCTCAGTCTCAAAGTTAACAACTCCTTGAGCGAGGTAAGGCTTACATCTCACGGTTTCTGGCTGTATCGTTAGCATCTCATACTTTTGAAACCACGAATGGTCTGACAAACTCGGAAGTGCCGCGCAGGTATGTATGACGCGCGACAATATAAAATACTCAACAGTATTAAAGATGCCACATACAAACACAAACTCCGAGCGTCGTGCAAGGGAAACACTTGTAAAAAACACAACTCTTTTGAGCGTTTTGTAAATTCGTGGAACGCTTTTTTGGTCCTAAATCTGGATTTGGAATACGATAGCATTGTAAGTACGGCACGGCTAGAATTCTGTGACTAATGATTCGACTGCAAGTCGAAACATCTGTGACCTACACTTCACCACTACAGCATCTTTGAGTAGTCATGAACCACCCTATACAAGAGATCAAGAGCGCGTCTGGGGCTATACAAGAGTCGCAAATAGATTCGTGCAGCATACAAGGCTATCCAACTGTTGTGCTAGGTGCGCTGAATTAAATGGTGAAGGCAAACGTGGCACCAAACCATTATATTAAGATGATAAGTAGCGCTCGTAGATTGCGGTCTTCAAAAGACATCGCCCAGGAATTAAAGACGGTATGTCGCTGCCTCCAGCGTGAATATCGGATAACAGCTGTAAGCTGAAGTCTCGAGTGATGAGTTCAAGCGGAACAGGTTTGAAAGTAGATGTGTGCCGCGACCTCCTATGTTTGATCCTGTGGAGATATGTGCTCTACCTATAGATAGCTCGGATAATCCCCGTATATTTCATTTTCACATTTTGACTCTGATCTCGGTGATGGAGATTTGTCAATACGATTCGACTCGCTAATATCGACCCGGCTGCACTTCTTAGCAAATTTTAGAATTTAGTCTCAACGAAAAATTGCACCATTCGCCAAAAGCGCGGCATGATAACTGAGAAGCATGACTTGCCAAAGTAACGCGCAGTAGCCAGAGGCACGTTATAGAAAAAAAAGTTTTTTCAAATTGCTTTAGCTTACCCACGAATGCAGAAAAGATTTCAAGTGGACAATCTCATTATATGCGCAAACCTTCTGTGTTCTACGAGGGCTTATTGAGTGCCGTTCTGCAAACCTGCTCTCACCACCCTTTCTAATGAAAAGCGCTTTATCTTCTCGATTAACCGCTGGAGTTGATCTTGCTTTTACTTTGAAAAAACGATCCGGTTCTGATCTGCTTGGTACGTCTTGAGAGAATCAGTCCGATTGCGTAGCTTAATGATCCCATACGAAAGATGACACATGTCAGAAATACACACACAGAGACTCTTGGAGGGCGTTGATGTGCCGTAAAAGCTGAGAGGAATCCCAAAGCAAGACATGGAAGGATCTCCCACCGCCGGCTTTGCTTGATGAGCGAAAAATCGCCCATTTCGCAGTAGGTCAGCAAATATCAAATGAAGTGGAAAAGATACTTCAGCCTCGCCGAGGCTTGATTTCGCTTCAGGGTGATGCGTACCAACCCATTGTGCATTTTTTTCGTGCGACTCGCATAGTCAAATCTCTTTGCCGTGCGCTTTGCATAGAAGAAGGTGCAACTTGAGATGTCTGCTTTTACAAACGCTCAGAAGACACTCTGCCCAGGAGCGAACCCAGGGGCCTCCCTCTATAACCTAGTTACCTAGGCTGCGTCGCTATTAGACTTCCATTTAAACTGTAGCTTATTTATTATCGCTCGAACCAGCCAGCATGTACCACGGATCCTTTCTTTTTCAAGTACTGATACTTTAGTACATTTAATTGTTAAATATGATATTTGCACAATTATAAGGTGGGAGAGCAAAACAGTGCAATACATACATACTCCCCGTTTAAACTAATAAATTAAATGTCATTCAAGTGTAAGTGAAAAGCAATCACACAATAAAATTGTTTGCGCTACAAAACGAGAATCACAATAGCATACGCTGGCTTCTAAACCTTATATCCTCTTCAATCCGGTCAAATCACAGCATTACGCCGCCACTTTTTCACCAAGCATTGTTTATCCATTGTTATTAACCAATCCTTGAATGCGGTTCGTTCTGAAATTGACCCGCATTCATTTAATCACCACCAGCGATGGATCCGCATACTGTAAACACGATTGGCATGCAGGGTGGCATGTCAATACCTATGTCAATATCGATGGCTAATGCAAATGGTACCAATCAACAGGCTGTGGCGATGGGCATGAACGGCAGTATGGGTATGAACGCTTACGGAATCCCTCAGCAGCCTTTACAGCAACATCAAAGGCTGATGAACATGGGTCATATGAATCATATGGCAATGGGATCTATGGCTATGAAAATCAATCCAAACGCGCCTGCGGCAGCTGGGAGTACAGGTGTGCAAGCGCCATGCGTGCAGGCGGGTACATCCAGCGCAGACTGGCGCATCCAGCTCACGCGTGAACACCGAGCGAATCTCATCGCAAAAATGTACATAATTGCTTATCTACTTGGTTTTTGCTATATGACGCTAATTTTCTGTTTTGTTTGCGCGGTCACAGCTACAACGAAATGGTTCGGGTGTCGGCTGACCCCGTACCGGGTATCAAACTTTGGATGAATGTGTCCTGGTACGAATTGACACTGTTTAAGGAGTCGCGTACGCAGGAGGAATATATCAACAAAATCTTTTCTCGATTAAAGTCCTTGCGCGCACAGCAAACGGATATGAATGCGGTTATGGCAGCGCAGACGCTTCCGAATCAGGGTATGCTGTCAAGACTAGACTTTTCATATTATAGTACCCTTAACCTGAATCAGCATGCTGGCGTACCTGCCTCCAATGGTGGGAATATTGGGGGATATTTGGCAAACTCGCAATACGGAAGCTCGGTTACCTTTTCCGGTTCGCAGCCATCTCAGCCAACTAAACCGCTAACACTAAATGCGAGAGGAATGCCTGCAAATCCCGCAGTACCAACTAGCACCACGCCACAGATGACAGCCAAATCAGATGAGGGTGTTTTGGGTAATATAAGTGACATGACCGCGGAGTATTGGCGGCAACATGCAGCACTTAAAGCAAAGTATCATGACGATGTGGAAAAGGTACACAGTGCATTTAAGAAGTATGTTGATCACATGAAAGGCCACGACGAGACCGAACAAAAAAAAAAGCTGCGTTACCTTTTAAGCTATGTGCAGCTTTGCGCGAGCATTTTGAACGAGGACAAGACAACAAACCCGCCGCGGAAAATTGAAGAGCTGGACAAAGTGTACAAGTATATAGTCAAGATTGTGAATCCGTATTTGAAAAAGCTGCGCACGGAAACTGACAAGCGCAGCTTCACGTCTACTGTAGGCAGCCACGATCCAACCGGAGTAAATATTCCTGTGGCGACGAACCCCGCTGTCAGCGTAGGCATGTCTGCAAGTGTTGAGCGGGTCACAGCATCAAGTCATACCTCAAATGTGCCCAATGGGACAACACTCTTACATCAAGAGCATCAGAACATGTCGCTCCAACAGAAGCAGCAACAATATATTTTGCAGCAACGCCATCAGCAAATGCAGCAGCAGCAGCGGATGCATGCCCAAGCTCGCCAGCAGCAAATGATCCAACACCACCAGTTATTACAACAGCAACAGAAAGGTTTAAGTCCGCGAAATCAAGCTCAGTTTTCTGCTTTGCAAAATAACCAGCCGAACGCTTCGAATCAACTACAAAGCAATAAGTCGCCTAACAATCATCAAACATCTCAGCAGAAGCAGCATCAACAAGCTCAGCACGTTCAGCAAAGCCCTAATTCTCAGCACCAACCAAACCAGTCTCAATCCGCTATACAGCGATCTCAAGCAAATCATCAGACGCATCAGCTTCCGCAACAAAGTCAGCAGCAGCGCCCACAAGGCCAGCAGCAGGCTCCGCAACAAGCTCAGCACCACACTCAGCAACAAGGTCAGCAGCAGGCTTCGCAAAAAGCTCAACAACATGCTCAGCCACAAGGTCAGCGACAGGGTCCGCAACAAGCTCAGCAACAGGCTCAGCAACAAGCTCAACATCAGGGTCAGAAACAGGAGGATCCACCTCATCCTCATTCGCTACAGAAGTCTCAACAGCATCAACAGCAACCTATACCGTCAACACACGCATCACGCACGGAAACAACCTCATTGAATTTGGACGACTCGCTATATGGAGGTATGGATAGCGCTGGATTGTTGCAGATGGCATCCAACCTTGGATCTTCAGGTACCTCTTCGGGATTCATGAACTTTCCGAATGACCTCTCGCCCACCAATTTCTCAAGTATGGACCTTCTTGATATGGATGGCTTCATGGGCCAGGATAGCAATGGCAACGCCGGTGGAGGGCAAAATACAACTAATAACTCTGGTGAAAACAACACAACCCCAGGCGATGGAGCTGATTCAGATTTGATGTTTATGGAAGCACTTTGATTCAAAATCTGTAGTCTCTTTGTGTTTGTTGCTGTCTACCTCTCGCACAACAAAAGTGTTGAAGGCGATGCGGAAAAAGCAAATTGTATCTTAGACATTCCGCTTTAATTGATGTATGTTCCCCGATAACGTCAATGGGTGAAGAAAGTCCAAATAGTGTTGACTGCTAAATAGGGGAGATAAAAAACTCAAAGAATTATTCGAGAGACTTCTACTGTCACCCTTTTTCTGTCACGTCTCGACTGTCGTTCGGCGACGCCAGAAGCACAACTTTTGGCATTCTGCCTCTCTCCTCGCACGACTTGTGGGCGAGCCTATTTCTTCACGTTTAATTAGCATAATCACGTTGTGGAACGTCTAACTTACCCACGTCTTCTACTGTTGCGCTATGGCAAATAGAAATCCTACACGAATGTTAAAACCCACAAGCAGCACGCAGAGCATGTCAAGCGCGTTGTCGCTGCAGCCTGCGCCGCTTACGAGCGCGGTATTCTCGCGTACTGTCGAAGAAGACCTTGAATCACAGGCACGTGCGTCACTTAGTCTTTTTGGGTTCGGCTCCAAGGATTCTGTCAACTGGAGCCCCGTCAGCGCCACCGCCACTACCGCCTCTTCCGCAGACACAACTGGAACAGGCGGTGCGATTAAAGTACGTGTCATGGAGCGCGTATGTCCCGTTGGTACAAATAAATTTCTCTGGAATACGATGAATTCTCTCGCTAATGGGGGCGAAGGAGGCGATGATCCAGAAGATCTATGTGCTGATCCCGCAACAATTAATGGCAACAATAGCAATGGCGTCAACGTAAATGGAGCGCGGGACGGCGAAAAATTAGATTGGGACTCTGCGTCTTCAAATGCAGGACTTGGCAATATGTTTGCATCGAAAGTGTTGCAGCAATATCTTGTGAAATGTGTAGCGCTATTGCCATCTTCGATTGAAGAAGTTGTCGATTTACTCATTCGTTCCGACAGAGAAGATATGGAGCTGCCTATGCAACATCTTGTTGGTGTCCGCACTAGCTCATCGGCATTTGTTTATCGTCGCAAGAAGAAGCCCCGACGTCGCAGTAATAATAACATGAGCAGCGGCATTAGTGGAAGTAGTAGCGACGGGGTTTCTCAGCGAATGACCTCCCAGGCTTCAACTCAAGATTGTGATAGCGAATCCTCGTACTCAGATTCAGACTTGGATGTTGACGAGGATGTACACCCTTTTACAGGTTTTGGTCGAGAATCTACATCTGGGCGCGCTCGAGGAACCCGTGGTGAATCATCAGAGATCGATCGATCACGAGGCAATGCAACGCCGACAGGAGGAACAAGCCCAGGGCTGTATTTATCGAACTCATACATGGAAGATTATCGAACGGCAATGGCAACATCAGGTCATCAGGGTAATCTCGGTATCAAATGGGTTATTGGTGAGAAGTCAAGTCGGATGTTTGCATCGCGAACTACGTATTGTTTATTAGATTACGAGTGTATTTTGGTGAATGATTGGGATGAAGATGCTGACCCCTCGCCAATGTATGTGCGCACGATGCAATCGTGCTACAGTCCACAGTGTCAGTCGTGGCTAGACGAGGTAGGCTCTAAGCCTACAGACCTTCAGCCAACAGGTTTTATGGTACGTCTAGCAAGTGGTCACAACGGATATGTAGAAATTCAGTTTGTGGCATCGATATTGGAAAAGGCACAGCTACCACTGGTCTCTCGACGGGCAAAATTACGCGCACTGTGCGCGAAAATTGCACGATTGGAAGAGGTACTGACAAGTCGTCGCTTATCGCAGTCTTTGCTCGTGAATGCACCACATTGGGTTCATAATCGTGAACGTTTAGGATGCCGTATATGTAATGCAAGGTTTGGTCTTTCACGTCGTCGCCATCACTGCCGTTTATGTGGTGAGGTTTGCTGCTCTGAGTGTTGTCCCAAGATGGATGTTGCGCTTCCTGATGTTGGCTCCACAAGTGTGCGTGTGTGTATCGTCTGTATACAAAAGCGCCGAAAAATTTGCGAGTCTACTACATCTTCGTCCAGCGCATCAGCTGGTGCATCATCGCCGTCTCCAAGTAAAGAAGCTACTCATAATCCGCCGCCACCGCTGAGTCATCCTTTTCGTTCTGTGTCATCGTCACCACCAAATGCCTGCCTCCCCTCCTCGTCAAGTCACAGTTCCGCTGCCAGCAGCTTCACCACCGCCAGCAGTCTAGGCGAACAGAAGCACTCGTTGGCATCCTCCGTTTTTCAAAAGATGAAGAGTTCTTCACTAAGTTGAAATGCTATTTGATACTAACTGTGGTACACGTCTTCCAAAAAAACTTAGCTTGATACTTATTGACTCTTAGACTAGTCCAATAACCCAAAATTGAAAAAACGTCATAATCTGACGGCAATAAGCTTAAGAGCTATTTTATGTCTAAAACAAAAATTTGCAATGTGCTCATTGACATTATTATTAGAGAAACGCTTCCAAAATTTAATGAAAAATCTGATTAAAACAATAACTTCTATCTAAAATATCTTTAATTTTTTAGTTCGAACGATCGAGGCGAACTTGCGCAACTCAATCACCGGTCAGTCTATAAGTTTATGTTTGCATTTGTTCAGCATGTGGCTCAATCTGACGCCATGACGTATTAAACGCGCGGTACCTCAGTCTTTTTTCATGAAGTTTGTTGCCGTGAGCCAGCCAGACGTCAGGTCCGGAGATCAAATTTTACCGTATGTAATGCCACTTCAATATTTGCAGCTCTTTCTGCATTATCATTCTAGGGCTTCAGCTCTATGAAACGCCTGGTTTATAGATGTGTGATAAATGTCGTGACGGAAGGGTATCTCAAAATTATGGCTACTAAGATGGTGGTTGTGAAGTGTATGATACTCCGTTTCGAAGCTGTTTTGTATAAAAGGTTTATGTTGATGAAGATGCAGTAATATAGAGCAAGCTGTACGGTTGAGCTTCATACATACCTGGTGACGCATATCCGGATGACCATAGTTTAAATACAAAAACCTGTCTACGCCATTGGCGTCGAAAGTAGCAGCCATTCGATGGATTGGTAAGACATTGAGCGAATGAACAAATTAGTGGTTGCAGAAATGTTGCCTTTTATTAAAGCATTCTTCATATTTCAACAACTCTGACTTTGTGGACCTGACGCTTGTTTTTGAGGTAACGCCTTTATTTACTCCCAAACGCATACAATGACAGATGTATATAAATCTGACGAGTCAATCTATCAAAATTTGAGACTGCTGCCGAGAAAACCAAGGTGTATTCATTTGTACTAATGTATCAACGATGTTTGCCACGCATGCCATTATACTCTGTTCGGCTATTTCGGCCAAGCTTCTTCTAGTGTCTATGCTTATCTGACGCAACATTCGAATGTGTCCTGCACTTCAGCGTGTTGACAAAGAGACCCTTTGCATTCTGATGGGGATTTGTGAGGAGCAAGAAGTCAGCTTCCAAAAAGCCCGAAATACTGCAAATGTGAAATACAAATTTTGACAAGGTGGCGGACTTAACAAACCTGAGTTTATGTAATTAAGCGCGAATTACCGCTATAATTGATATAATTACTAGTGGGTACCTTGCAGTCCACGTCAACCAAGGCACAGGATGGGTTCGTGAGCGCCACCCAGGCGAGAATCGCAATATACATTTTGAGTCTCGCTTAAAATAGCAGCATCAGTATTTGCTATACTATCTGTCATAATTATATCCTACATAGCGCAAAGCGTGGGACCAGCAATCGTTGCCCCATCCCACTACTACCAATTACTACTTCATCATGTTAAATATTTGGAACTTTGCATTTAAGTCCGAGTGTAATCTGTACGTGCACCATGATACCATGTATTAGGTTTTAAAATTAAATTAGCTTGACTTCTTCTTACGCGTTTCCATATCTAACATTGACGAATACAGCAGCTGGGCTGATTGCATTATCGTTGCTGCCATTATCTGTTCGTCTGCTTAGCAAGAATTCTGCCAATGTTGTCGAAGGTACACGCAATCCACATGTCTATCATCATTGAATGGACATTTAGAGATTGCTACTGTTACAGTTACCTAATATTGTAGCAGCTATAAGTTTAGAGGAAGCATGACGGACAATCCCACCGTCGGCGACTACAGTATACTTTGCTGTAAGGCATACTTCAAACGGTATGTGGTCAGCCAAAAACTGTAATTTAGTCAATATTTATGAGGAGTACTGGTATTGCCCATTCATCCAGATGAAACTTTCTTAGATATCAATTAATCTTAGTCAGCCAGTCTTCTAATTCGTTCCAATCACATTCTAGATGAGGCCAATCAATCATAGTAATATTAAAGCCGCCTGCAACGCTGTGTTAAATACTACCACTCAATTTCACTTTGCCGGCAATTGCCTCGTTGTGATTTAGAAGGGCTCGAAGAATTGTCTGCAAAGCATAAGATCATCACGTGCATGCACAACTGGCTGAAACCACTAGCCGTACGATCAACGGCCCTGCCAAATGGATAGTAAAAAACACAAGTTCCACTTCACTTCGCTCAATAAATATTGATTTCGAGGAAAAGCTGCCTTTTTCCAAATTAGGTTAGTTTGCGAAGAGTTAATGTGGTAATCATCTGCTAGAATTGTACACATTAATGTGTTAATAAAAGTCGTTCATGCATAGTGAGAGAGCATTCGCTCATTCCATTCATTTTGAGCGAAATTATTTGAAAAAAAATTAACCTCATTAGAAATGAAAGCGTATCAAATAGTAGAAGAAAAGAAGAGAAGAGGAGCGCGGTTTGAGCAGAAGCGAGCAGTTCCAGATTGCTAAGAAACTGTAACGCTTAATGAACACCAGAAATAATAGTAATCGTGGCTGCAAAAACGTTCGGCAGCATCTGTGTTTGCCATGCACATCAAGACAAGGTCACCCCATTGTGGGTATGATGCGTAAGGAATACTTTTAAAAAGGCTCTTGTAAATTCGGTGGATCGACTTTGGTGCAAAATTCATCAATAATGGAGCAGTTTATGCGCATTTACTAGCTGCGTACCGGGCCACTTCTTTCGTAAATGCGTTTACGGGAAGAGGACAGCTTATCGCCTAACGAAAGCGTAACTGAGAAAAGAATTTTATCAGTTGTTCGATTAAAGCAAGCGTTGCATCAAAGCTAGATCTTGGATAGTTATCAACACAGGTTGGACCTGAATAATTGGCAACATATCTTCATGTGACAGCTTAACATTTGGTGGTAACGAGGTATTCATAACTCTCCGCGACTCAAACGCCAAAGTACTTGGGACTGACCGGAGGTGAGTAGCACGATACAAATGGGTCCTACGAGTCTTTAGAAAGATTCAAAGAATTAGGTGTTCCTTTCTCGATAAATTAGAATTGGTGCGGCTCATAACTTCATGATGCGAGGGCTGTACCACCTTTCTTTTGAGGGCATCAGCAGACACCATTTACGAACGCTGTACCACCTGCCGGTCAAAACACCAGCAGACAACATCCGAAATGAACTGACGAGCCCGTGGTGCGCCGATCTTGATCCAGATAGGCCGCGATGAGTTGGTGTAAAAGGTACTCCATGTGGAGTGAATCTACGTGGCTTGTCCGATAGCGATGAAACAACTGATCCATGGACTCACCCATAGGCAATATTCGTTTGTACAATAACATACGATGAATCTCAATGTGGAAGCAATGTTGAGCAAGTATCTTATGTCTTCAAAGTCGAAGTAAATTTTCCACATCGACGGACGGTCCGGCTCACACAAGCCAGACTTCTTTGAAGTACGGAGCTGATAAAGCCGTGATAAACACACCGGCGCAATGAGCGACAAACCAGCTGTCGGCGTCATGGCCGTATTGCAGAACAAAAAAGTCAGACGTGTCGACGAGCGAATAGTTCCTTATAGTGATCAGGTGTCAAATGCCTTGAGCATAACACCCTCATCATTTAATAGTTTTGTCTAATGCACCGGCAAACCTTGAAAAGAAATAGCGACAAAAGACCAAACATAAAACAGATGTAGATAATTGCGCCGTTCTTTTGGCTGATGATCAGCTTGAGAGAATATACGGCTCGTTCATGCTGTGCTCAGCTATTAAACGCGCAACTGAGATGGGCATGGGCGTGCGGTTATATACGTCGGCAAGCTGCGGAAGTGGCGCCACATATTTTGGAAGCCGTCAGGTTTTAATAGTAGCGATGGGGTCTTTCAAAGACACTATTATGCGGCACCGAGCGACAAGGTACCGCCGTTTTGCTCGGAATTTATCGTTAAGCCGTTTGACGCGCTCCGGCCTACGCTGAAGCGAATTGTGATGCAGCGACCACTTCACAGTTAAATGCAGCCCGTCAAATAGACTGCGGTAAGAGTAAGAACAACCATCACTATCTGCAATGAGACAAAAGGCCCACGCAGAATCCGTGTGTGTAGTGAGCACAAAAAGAACTGCCTTGGCCTATTAGCGGGGATTATCTCAACTAATAACCAAACAAACGCTTAACTTTGTTGAACTACGTGGATGACAGTGGTTAGAGTGTAGTTGTGAGCCATGTGAGCTTATTCACAAAAGCCTTAAATGAATCAACAGTAAGCTATGCGACGCAGATTGTACCTAAATACGCGGTAAACGGCAGCTGCAGTCGTCAGATATTAATATCTCACCCGTAAACATCATGCGAGGTTTGTATGCTCTCTTAATTAATGCGTTACGCACATTGTATAGGAAAATAGTGCGAAAGTCTGTAGGAATCTCGGTAGCCTAGATTTAAAGGAAACGCGGGATGCTTACGATGGCAATGATACTCGCGAAGTTAAAGCTATTTTGAGGCGCGGCCGCAAAGAGCCCTCGTAAACAGACACAATGAACGGGTTCGAGGTGACATAAAGATAGAGTTGAAGGACAGTGAACAAACCAGGCGTATACGTAGTACGGGGTCTCACACACACTTGCATGAGAGCACGCAAATTACTCAGTGATGAGAATACGCTGGAAAGACAAATGCGTGAATATGGCTCGTTGTAATTTGCATACAGAGCAGAAAAATTCAAGCACAGCGGGTGCTCGTCGAAATCTCATTTTTGCGTAATATCCTGATTTAAAGCCCGATGTGGTATATATTTTGGTCAAATGTATTCATCGTGTACGTACACAGTAGAAATCTCAGATTTACCAAAGCACCAGTGTGGATAATGAGAATGAGACCACGTTACTGAGAGGCCCGTGGGACATGGGATTCGCTGGTCTAACGTCATGTATCTTAGTTGTTATTATTATTGAGCAAGTAAGAAGTATATACTAAGTTTTAAGAAAATAGACCAGTCTTCTTAAGATATATAACAAAATCGATAAGCAATATATGCATCCTTCAGTTCTGAGTGGGGCGTCCAAAAGCATGCTTAGATCGTTTGATTGCTGAGTCCGTGTGTAAAGTGCCCGACAACCCTTATGTATAGATGTGAAAGTGTATTGCACGCCGTGTATTACGCAATTCCCATGGCGTCAGTTAAGCAAGCAGCATTTTTTAGTGCGCATAAAGCCGCAAAAAATGCCACACTGAGTGTCGAGTCCGTGACGACCAATGTGAGCGTATGAAAAACTGACGATTTCTATTCTCATGCCAGCTTTCAATATCAGCAAGATACAAATGGGCCATTTTGTAACAATTCAGCGCATGTAGTAACGTAAATTCCGTCTTGATCTGTTCAAACCACAATCCATGTGTTCACACACCGTTTGACGTTCATTATGATCGTCTGTCCCTGGTCGACAAATCTAATCCTCTTGTTGAAATATTTAGGGATGGCGCTGCACCTACTATGCAACGGGGTTGAACGTCCCTGGTAACAGGGGTGTGTGTCACACGAGATGGGCATGGTGTGACAGCACCCAAACAAAAATACGGTATGTGGCTGGGTAGCCAGTACTTATGCATGTATTTAGATTTTTCTATATATATTTAGGAAAATCTATACATATAAAATTAGGCGGCTTTGCCACAGATAAAAATAAATAAAAAGCAGTTTTGGTTTTTAAACGGAAGAGCTAATTAGCCTTGGTTAAGGCAATAATCACTCTTGGAGTAAGCGGATTGCGATCCGCTGACTCGTGCTTGTTCTAAGTATAGAACGAAAGGTCGGTACCCTAAATTACGCTTCCTCACAGCGCTAAGCTACGGCAGCCCCGCTGCATAAGTCAACGCAGCTCCGAACCAGCAACGGAGAGCTTGTGGAGAGCTCAACGTGATTTGCTGCGGATCCTAAATGCACTGAGTACAGTATTGCCATGAGGAATATTATATTTCCGCATCTTTACAATAAAGACACTACAAAGAGCTTGAGCTGTTTCGTAGAGATTTGGCAACGCCTTTTTCGCTGCGGCAAGTTTTTTTGGCTCCTGGGCTCGCGAACCTCACCTGTGAAGGCCATACCGCTGGATATGCTCAAAGTTAATAGCATCTGCTAATGCGCTTGTGCGGTTAAAGCAATCACAACAGAGTCTGATGATAATGTAACAAAACAAAGCTGCTCGTAACTTAACGGTGGCATCGCGAAGATTTAACGCAGTGAAGAAATGCCGAAGAAATTCGTGAGGCTACTTGAATGAATCTTAGTCCTGCTGTCATGTGCTGGGCCTGTCAATACGTTTTAAGTATGAAGCATAGTTCCGACAAAATGTCTGGAGCTGTGAACACCGCACTTTTCTTTACTAGTCGGATATTTGTGCCGTCTGCAGGCCAGACAACTTGCTGTAAGTGGATTTGTACAGATTATATACGTTTTATGATCATGAATGCATGTTCGGACTGGTTACTTTAATGTGCAAATTTTTTGTCTGGTGTGGTCATGCTACGGTCTAACCGCGATTGGCCATCAACAATTAAAGCCTCACACTATTTACCTGGATGTATAATTGCATCCTATTATTTTGTCGAATAGGGTGCTTCCGTTGTTCGACCAATCGTGATTCGTTTTCGCTTCAAGTGTCCAGTCCATAGTACAGCTAAGTCAAGAGCAACTCACTTGGTAAAACGACTCAGAAGCCGCGAAAAGAAAGCGATGGACCCACACTCGATGGTGATCCAAGGCAACGGCATTTCTATGCCTATGTCAATGGGTATGGGTGCCACAAACCCGCAAGCTATGGGATTAGGTCCTCAAACCATCTACAACCAGCAATCGACCATGATGATGAATGCCATGCCGATGAGCTCTGTAGGTATGACTCAATTGAACTCGAACGTTGTTAACCCGGCCCAGGTAAGCGACTGGCGTATTCAACTGACGAGGGAGCACCGTGCCAATCTTATTGCTAAAATTTACAATGAGATGGTGCGCGTGTCAGCTGATCCCATGCCAGGGATTAAACTTTGGATGAATGTGTCATGGTTTGAGCTGTCGCTTTACAAGGAGTCGCCCACACAGGAAGTTTACATTAACAAAATATTTACAAGACTGAAGTCATTACGAGCGCAGCAATCGGACATGAATGCGGCTATGGCAGCGCAAGGACTGCCTAATCAGGGTATGCTCTCTAGACTCGACTTTTCTTACTATAATACACTTAATTTGAACCAGAGAGGTACAAATGCAAGTCAAGTAAGCAATTATCCCGGACACAATCAGCTGGGAGGATCAGGACCACATCTTGGAGCTCATCATCAGCAACAGCAACAACAACAACAGAAATCGGCATCTGCTAGTAGCACTCCAGTGAAAGCAGAGACGATCACATCAGGGAACTCTGCGATTGAGTATTGGCAGCAACACGCGGCGCTGCGAGCAAAGCATCAAGGGGATGTGGAAAAAGTGCACAACGCTTTCAAGAAATATGTGGATCATATGAAGGGGCACGATGAGACGGAGCAGAAGAAGAAACTACGATATCTTCTTAGCTATGTAGAACTTTGCGCAAATATTTTGAGTGAAGACAAGACGACGCATCCACCGCGGAAGATTGAGGAGCTGGACAAGGTCTTCAAGTATATTGTCAAGATTGTCAATCCTTATTTGAAAAAATTGCGCACAGAAACAGATAGGCGAGGTGGTGATGGCAACACTGTCGCTTCAACTGGCCTGCCACTGTCGTCATCTGGGCATGACAT